AGTGCGTAAAGTGGCATTAGACGTGAGGGCCCCGAATTTGTTCCTGCCACTAATGATTTGATCACTGCTCAACATAGGACTACGATGAGGAAGAGGAAGAAGAGGAGGAGGAGGAGGAGGAAGACGAAGACGATGAGGAGGAAGACGATGGAGAGATGGGGGAGGAAGGAGAAGACAGTAACGAGGGGAGCGGAGACGGCAACGAGGCTTACGAAGAAGACGACGCAGAGGTTTGATTACATATAATACATAATGTACACACAGTTACAACATTGACCTTATCCGCACACATACACACAACTTTCACATCTTGTACTCCACATTAACCCTTCCCACGCTTTCAGTGAGAGATTTATGTGCATTTTCCAGCTCACAAACTCAGTTTTTCCACACCGTCTCGCTTCGATGTCATTTGCATTTTGTCTCCGTGTCGTAACTTTCTGTCTGCATGGAGGCTGTCTGTGTTGACTTTAGATATTTACCCTTTTTTCTCTAGTCTTGGTTGCACATGTTCACAAGGATGAGTCAGTGTCTGCAAAGTGACAGTTGACGGTCTTTCACTTGTAATCTACATTTGGAGGATCTGTAATAAATTGATTTAGTTTGAAGGCGGTTAAAAGAAAAAGGTCCCGCTGTAATAATGACCAAAGTTTATTAGCATGTAATTGAAGTATAGACTAAACTATTTAATACATTATGAGACATTTTAGAAACAATAGAGGGGTCGTCCTCAGCAGATAACCAGTTTTTATAACATTTTCGTAATATTTCTAAGATGTTTGTAGTTGTTTTTAGGAAGCTGAATCCTTTAAACCTGGATGGAAAGTTAAAAAAGAGGATACAAATCAAAGATGATCACTGGATAATGAAATGCAGCTTTCTTTTAATGAAACATATTTATTAAACTATGGAAAACTGCTATTAACATATAAAGTTATGCTGAAATAATACTCAAATTATCCGGCAAACACGCCCAGTCTGTATCTAGAAGAACTCCAAGACACACTGAGTCCTTAGTATAATCAAAATGAATTCCAGGGTTCCATCTGATCCTTAAAGTGTTGAAATCATTCTTCTACAATTAGGCTTCAAAAGGCTGAAAGATGCTTCGAGCTGGGAAGTAGGATTTTTCATTGGAAAATATATATATATATTAAATAATTTACAAAGTGCCTCTCGCAGTAACGTCACGCAGATCCTGAATTAAATAGTGAGACAGATAGAAAGTCTGATTTGAAATAGTTAGTGCCTCCTGTCTGTGTGGGTCCTCAACATTTTAAACTAATGCATATCGAAGTACACGAGTGTTTATACTCATCATTTCTGGCCATTTCTGAAGGGCGTCTTTGTTCCATATCGGGACAAATGTAATTATAATCTGTTTGTGGTGCCCTGCCAGTATATCCTGGCATCTATACTGTGTGGGAACCATCCCATAACATGCTTCCTCCAATTCTAGCCAACTCCTGTTTTTCCTTTTCTACTCATCTTCCCATTCCCTCTTTTTTCTCTTCACTTTTTTATTTGCCCCTGTTGAACTTGTTTAAAATCTCCTTGTGGTTTCTCTTTATTTATTATAATATTTCCTTTTGTTCTTTCCTTTCTCAGGGAGCTGATGTAACGGACCCGGGCACAGAGACAGAAGAGAGTTTGGGGGCGTCTGACTCCACCCAGAGGCCAGCAGATTCCCAGACACCCAGCTGTAAGATCCGGGAAACCCTCTCAAATTCACATACGTAGATCCACCTCAGACGCTCCACATGCGCTCATAAGCTGTCCCGCCACCCAATTAGTTATCAGACACTTGACGGTGACTGAGAAAGATGTAATATGTTGTTGTCTGTTTGAAAGGAAGAGGTGTGTCTGTCTGTCTGTCTGTCTGT